TCAAGATTCAAGAGTTATTTGAATTAATCAAGGTTAATGATTAGAGTCGCAACACTAGCAGAGACTAACAAGGTTGTCGATGGTTAAATTGATATCAACACAGTTTAAAGTCAAGGTGAAGATTATTAGAATAATGCCTTAAAACCTTTTTTAACGAAGAGAAAGAAAACATGTTTTGAGATTGCCAAAAATCATAAAGCTGAAAAGTAATCTGGTCTTGATACCGGATTCGGTCAGTTCGGTTCATTGATCCATTCATTAATGTTAAAATATTTTATATTAATTTGGAGATCATATAAATTAATATAAAAAGATATTATAATATATTTATGATATTCTAATATATATATATATATATATATATATATATATATATATATATATATATATATATATATATATATATATATATATATATATATATATATATATATATATATATATATATATATATATAATATTTGAGAGATATTATAAGATTATAATAATATTTTACATTCTAATAATTAATTATAATAATATTTTACATTCTAATAATTAAGGAGATATGTTTTGGATTTGTTATTCATTTGTTGAATTTGGGATTTATAAATATGTATCTCTTTTGTTATTATAGTGTGACAGTCTTAGAACTTACAACAACAGGGGAGAGAAAGGGTTTAAAGGCAGAGCATGGGGTTTTGGCTATTCTCAAGGGAAGCCTTAGAAAGACAACGGTTTTGGACACCTTTAGAGTTATCTAAGGTTATTGAGAATTGGGAAACATTTGTTTACACCATGAGTTTGAGTTATTCATATATTGAAGGTTGAAAAGGTTGGGAAATACTTGGGTAAAAAATAGGGTCAATTTTTGGGAGCCTTCAGGGTTGTTCTTAGGAACCTAGAGGAAATGGCTATTTTCTTGTAACTCATATGTAATCTGTTGTAACAACTTTCTGAGTATAATAAATTGGAGAGCTGCTTTTTCCTCTATAGTAGATCGTTTGATCGAACTGGGTAAACAAATATTTATCTTTTTCTCGCCTTATTCTGTTATATTATTTGTGTATGAATTATTATTATTGTAGACCATTTATTTTGATTGTCAAAATTTTTATTTTATCATTTCAATGGAGTAGGATCGGTGATCATACAAAAGAATGTCTAATTGAAGTTGTATCATGATTTGTTCATAGTTATCCAATGGTCAATTGTTTAAACTAGAGTTTTGGATACTAAAACCCTAATTATATGAATATAAAGCCTAAGTTGTGGTTTGAACCCAAATACGTTCTCTTTTTAGTCTTAGACCTTGCATTAAGGGTGAAAACATGTTAGATCAATTAACAGGTGTCTACAGCTTAGCCTACACAGGTCAAGGTCAGGTCAGATTTTTTTAAAGTAGAAATGGCCTAGACTTTTTATAAGTCTATTTAATTAACTAGGCTAGGCCATAGGTCATGAAAAAAAAACCTTTTAAGCCTATCAGACCGACCTATTTTTATAAAATATGAATAAATTTATTGTTTTTTATATTGTATTTTGTACTTTATATTAAAATACAAAAAGTGAAGTTTAGTTACCTTTAAGAACTTGTGAAAATAAGTTGGAAAAACCATATGCATATAATGTCATAAGTTGTTATCATAAGTTCTCCCAAACAAATAATCTCAAAAAACTTATGCTACTATATAAGCTCAAATAAGTCGATATAGACAAACATTTTGTCTCGTTGTACTTTTTATTCTCTATTATAGTTAAATATTAGTTGAATTGCTTATTTACATATGTTCAAATGATACAGGCTTTGTAAGCATGCTAATAGGCTAATCAGGTCTTCGAAAAAGGTCAGACTAAGGCCGAAAAATAAGCCTATGATAGGCCACATGCCAAACTTAATCTTTGAATTTTTTAATAGGTCAGGCTCATGCTTGGCAAAGCCTAGCTCGGCTCAACCTATTTCCACCACTTCCTTGCACATACATAGGAGTGTTGTATCTTTTTGTTTTTACTTATTTGATTGTCTGAGTGTTTGTAATTATATCGTCACATTTGTGAAATGTCGATCAATCACCATTATGCTTCTCAATCTAACTAGCTATCAGATCATTAATCTTATGTCTGATAAGGATTTGTGGTGTGTGGTTTATATGTGGAAAACATACTTAACGTGCACCATTCTCTTATTTTAATATCTACGACATTTAAAAAATTATAACACCCACATATAATATACATCTAGAAAACACATTATACATAGTATAACTGATATTGATATAGCATAAAAGCCTATATGTATAATCATTTATATATGTCTAAAACAATAATATATAAATATGGCACATGATATAGAAGAGTGCCTAAACAAAAACTATGATCTATGTACAACATCCACATGATCCACTAGGGGTGTTCAGATCCAATCCGATCCAAAAAAAATCCAAAAATCGAACCGAAAAAATCGGACCGAAAAAACCGAAATCCAAAAAAAAATGAATTTTTTTGGATGTATTTGGATCACCATGTAGCATAACCGACCGGTTCGGTTCGGTTTACGGTTGGCTTCATGAGAACCGAACCGGTCCAAACCGAACCGGTTGGCTTCATGACATATTATTATTATTATATATTCCTTGTGATGCAACTTTCGCATGTCCACTGTTATTGATATTTTTCTTGAAGTTTTATTATTATATTCGCTTTAATATAGCTTTGGAATCTTCATTTGTTCACTGTTTTATATATTTGTCATATATTTAATTTATAATACAAATCTCCATATAAGAACTAAGCATATCTCCATATATATTATATATTATAGCCATGTCTATTTCGTTGGGATAGATATTATACATATATTATAATGAAACTTTGCAATAATGACATCAAATAGCCATATGAACATAGCAATTAGATATTGTCTCAGTAGACGTTGGTGGCATAATTGTAACTGGTATTGAAATATATTATTTTTAAATTTCTAAATAGTGTTGGTTTAAAAACCGAATAAAACCGATTCAACCAAACCGAAGTAAACCATATAAATTGGATTGGATTGGATTGGATTTTTCTTGTTGTCATCCAAAAACCGAACCAAACCGTATGCTTTATATATTTTTGGATTGGATGATATTTTATCTCAAAACCGATCCAAACCGGACCACGAATACCCCTATGATCCACATTATCATATCCATATGGATTAGTGTGATATCAAATGTCGTTCAATAGCTACCATCATTTTTAAGCGGTTGTTTGCAAATGGTTTGAAAGCGTAAAGGTTGCAGAATGTAAAGCGGACAAAAGATAAATAAGGTTTTAGAGAGAAGAGAACTTGTCAGGATTGGATTTCATTCGGCCATAGAATATGCATTGTACCAATCAATTAAATGCAATCTAAACATTCATCAATAACATCATGTATCGCCCACAATAGAAGTCATGTGTAACACAAAGTTGAGATACCAATTGTATTATCTAATCAAAGATCTCTCAACCTATCAAACAATATGGCAACATTAAGAGTCAATATTCCATGTGAATGTTAAACCCGCTACTACAAAAAAACACATCTAACGTCGGACGCGAAATCGGGGTAAGTAAAGGCGTCATTAAAGGTTATCCCTTATCACCTCGGGTATTAAAATGCTGAGGGGTTACATTAACTGCACGTGGGTTTGATTCTCATCCTCGTCATTTTTATTATTTTCATTACTTGATGGCGCGCCAATTATTAACATTCGGTTTTTTTATGAACCGAGGTAATATATCAATATTATTACTTCTGTTTGTTTAGGAAACCGAGGGGTTATTAAATTTTTTTATTAACATTTGCACCTAAATTACAAAATACAGAACCCCAAAATACATAAAACAGAAACTATGAAAACCCAAAATGGCGCGCCCATTCCTCAATATGAAACAAAAATATTCATTGATTACACCATATACAAATCCAAAATGGCACACACTTTATAATTTTACATAAAAAATAAAATATATGATTAAGAAACAAAAGCAATAAGCCATTTACTTACTAGTTTTCTAATATATCCTCTTCATGATCACGACAAATAGCATGTGCATCATCTAAGTCATTTTCTTCAGATGATTGACTTACATATGTTGCGAAACAAGGAGTCTCATAGTTAAATTCTTGATTTTCATCAGTACTATCAGGAAGATGTTTTCCTTGAAGAACAATTGACCATCCAATGTTAGATGGATTAGTGACATAAAAAACTTATTTGACTTGGTTTTCCATAATGAATGGTTCGTTCTTGTAAGTTGTCTTTTGAAGAACAACCCTTGTGAATCCTAATTCATCAGTTTTTACTCCAGCTTTATTGTCAATCCACCCGCACTTAAATAAAGACACTTTAAAAGAAACATAATTGTTCTGGACTGGGCCTTCCCTTGGCCCAACTACCAGTGAGGCCCAATCTAAGATTGCCAACCTACTGCATTGATCAGTATTTCCATCGAGCACACCCCGATCACAGAAGTCTGGACGACTATGACTGCTTCCTGCCAGTGCCCGCAGAGGCCGTCCCCGACGAACACGCGCTCCCCCCGAGCACCTTCCTCGTAGGGATGACTTTCAACCTCTCTGGATTTTGCGAAGTCTTCATGGTCCCGGAAAGATCGCGTCTTTATCCTCCCTATCTTGCAGAGGACGTCATCCAGGTAGGAGGCCACGTGCGGGTCCCCACTACACACGTAGAACGACAGTCTCTTTGTTGGGCATGTTTGATCAGCCCATTAAAGAGACCTTGGCCCAGCGCTGAGGGATATAAATGCCCTATCTTTTGAGAGGGTCAGGTATTCATTCATTCACACCTAAACTCATACTTGCTTGCTCATTCCGCCTCTCACTTTGCCATCGGAGTGTCTTGCAGGTACCCCCCCTATCTCATTCAAACTCATCCCAAAGCTAACTATGACGGTCCAACTCTGTGGGAATCTAAGCTTCCCCGTCTTCTCTTCATTTAAAAGAAAAAGCTAAACATTCCTCGACTGTCATGGTTGATCAGACTCAAGATAACCAGAACGTCCGTGTCATCAACATTAAAAATAACATCATCGACAATAATGTCGGCCTCGACAACGCTGGTACCGTCGGCCATAACACGGTCCCTGGCGTCAACATGCCCGAACCTTCTAACTGTAGGGAAGGAGCCACGACTTCTTCTTCATCAATCCCTCCTTGACTTGAAGAAGATCGGCCACTTCCCCTGAACTATCCAGCCGTCCAATTTCACGAGGTCCCCGTCCCCGTTGGGGCAGACGCCACGACCAGGGCACTATTCGCGGCGATCAACCAAACCAATTATCTCATCTTCGCCCAGGGGGAAAGACTGAAGCACTCAAGGACGGCCGAAGGCCCCCTAGAAGACACAGGAGACCTCAATCTCCTCCCCCTCGACAAGCAAACGAACATCCCCAATCTCCCCCGCGGAGACAGAATCAGGACGTTTCTAGAAGCCCGTCGCCCTGACCACTCGGGCGATGACCCCCTTTGGAGAGGGAACCGCCCATCGACGCAGGAAGACGCGACTATGGCCCCTCGCGGAAAGAACAAAGACCCCCCGGAGATATACATGGGGGAAATCATCAACGGTCACACCGCCCAAGGAACGCTCCACGTGACCAGGGCCACCATGACCGCCACTACATTGGATCTCCATCCTGGTCTTCGGAACGAAGTGACGAGGATGACCCCCGCGGTCCCTTGTTACAAGACATCATGGAGGCGCCCATTCCCTCGAGCATGGAGAAGCCTCCCCACTTAAAGGAGTACGACGAGATCGCCGACCTGGTCAATCATATAGACGGGTTCGACGCCATGCTATACCACCACAACATCGGGGGACTAATCAAATGTCGGTTGTTCCCCACGACTCTGAGGAAAGCGGATATGGACTGGTACAAAGCTCTCGCCTTGGGGTCAATTACCTCTTGGCAAAACCTGAAGAACCAGTTCATCAGCTCGTTCACTGCTTCACGACGACACCCGAAGACCGAAGCAACGCTAGAGGCCATCATCCAGAAGCATAACGAGACCTTGAGAGAATTCATTGATCGCTTCAACCGGGAAGCCATCCAGGTCCCCTGCACGGACCATATGAAGAGATACCTGCTGGAGAGGGGGCTCCTCCCCGGCACTAAATTCAGAAAAGTCGTGGGCATCGAACCACCCCGGACGTTTGATTCCCTCCTCGAAAAGGCCAGGGCCTACATGGACTACGAGGAGAGAGAAGTAGCCAATAGAGCCCGAGACCCCAGAAACCGCAGATCCAGCAACAATTTGCGACAAGACATCGCCCCTCCTCGACGAACTGGAGAAGAGAGAAGGGATGATAAACCCCGAGACGTCCAGGAACAAAGGGGACCCTCAGGGAGGTTCACAAAATATACTCCGCTTACGACTTCCTGTGAGCGCATCTTAGCGGAGTGCGCAATTATAGACTTCAAGGAAGGTGACGTCAAACGTCCCCGCCCCGCTCCTGCCAAACCCGGGGTGGACCGAAGCAAATACTTCCAGTACCACCAGAGCCACGAGCACCTGACCGAAGACTACGTCCACCTCAATGACGCCATCGAGAGCCTCATGAAAGGGGGAAGACTTACACAATACCGGCGAAACGATGCTCCTCATTGGGATGCCAGTGAGACGATGGAAGCAGAAGAGGATGCCCGACCATCTGACGAGTCGGTTCCCATCCAAACCGCGTTCTCCGTCATAAGACCCGAGGACTTTTATGTCCCCGAACATTTGCAAGAACCTCTGTCTATGCACAGCAGGTGGGAAAACTTCCCCTCCGCCATGGTCATCAATGGTGGAGGGTTCAATGATTTGACCATATATTCAGCTAAGAGGAAGCTGGACGAGTTGGTCGACATGGCTCCTCTTCAAACGGTGACCTTTGAAAGGGTGAAAGGCAGATCAGAGCCGATTACCTTCTACCTCGAGGAACTCCCCGGAGGGGCCCCCAATTCGGCCATCCCTCTGCTGATAAGGGCGAGAATGGCCAACTTCGACGTACATCGCATCCTCATCGACGAGGGAAGTTCCGTCGACATGATGTACAACCAATTGTTTAAAACCATGCAGCTCGACGTCTCTCACCTCTCACCATATGTGGGGTCGGACCTGCAGGGCTTTAACGGCTTGACATCCAAGCCTTGGGGATACGTTGAGCTTATGGTCATGTTTGGCGAGGATACCGCTACCAGGAAGGTCAAGGTGCACTTCCTCGTCATTGACTGCCCATCCCTCTACATCTGCATTCTCGAAAGACCTACATTGGCATAGCTGACCGCGGTGCCCTCCACCGTCCATTTGAAGATGAAGATCTACACCAAAAGGGCACGGGTCGCCACTATTCAAGGTGATCTGGCAGCTACCCGAATGTGCTTCAACGCGGCATCCAAGGGATGCAACACAGTCGACACCAGCACACGGCCCGCCAAGAAAGCTACAACTGTGCGACCAGAGCCTCAGTGGTCAGAGCCCGTCAGAGCAGAAGAATAGAGAGCCCCTTCATAGGTTGACTCGATATACATGGACAATCACTTCGACCAGGACGAGCACCCCAGCGGCGAGCAAGTCTCCCTCTGACCAATTCCGGACGGGGACTTCGAGCTCGTCCCCCTCGGTGAAGACCCAAGCAAAGGAGTGAAGATTGGCATCAGACTCCCCGACTTGGCAAGAAAGCAGATCAAGGCTTGCTTGAGGGAAAATGTGGATCTGTTTGCATGGAGTGCTGCAGAGATGCACGGTCTCGACCCTGAGGTCGCCTATCATCAACTCGCCATTGATCCAGCCGCTAGGGCAATAGTACAACGTAGATGTAGGCAGTCTCTAGAGAAAGCGGAGGCTGCTGAAAAAGCTGTAAAAGACCTCCTAGAGGCAAATTTTATTTCTGAAGCCCGACATTCAACCTGGATGTCAAATGTTGTACTTGTCAAGAAAAATAATGGAAAATGGCGAATGTGCATTGACTACACCGATCTTAACCGGGCATGCCCCAAATATGCATTTCCTTTACCTAATATTGATATGCTGGTCGACTACTCGGCCGTCTATAAAATTCTATCGTTTATGGACGCCTATTCGGGCTACAACCAAATCCCAATGGCAATAGGCGACAAATATTGCACTGCTTTCATGACTAGCTCGGGCAACTATTACTACAACGTAATACCCTTCGGTCTAAAAAATGCAGGAGCAACGTATCAGTAGATGATGAACAAAGTCTTCCGCAACTAAATCAGGGACATGCTCGAGGTATACATGGATGACATGATCGTCAAGTCCCGAGCAGACATCGACCATACTGCTCATTTCAGGGAAGTCTTTGCCCAAGCGAGGCAATGCAAAGGGAGGTTTAACCCCGAGAAGTGCACGTTCGGGGTCAAGGCGGGCAAGTTCCTCGACTTCTACTTAACAGAACGAGGAATCAAAGCCAACCCCGACAAGTGCTGAGCTTTCCCCTACCTCCCCACACCTACGTCGAAAAATCCATACAAGTCTTGAATGACATGCTCACCTCACTATCCTATTTCGTTGTAAAATCCGCTCAACACGCCCTCCCTTTCTTCAAGCTCCTCCGCAAGGAAGCGACCTTCGAATGGACCGAGGAATACGAGCAGGCGCTGCTCCATCACAAATAAATCCTCTCGCAGCCTCCCGCATTATCATGACCAGTTGACGTGGAAACCTTATTTATATACCTAGCCGTCTCGGTCGAAGCCATCAACGCAACCCTCATTCGTGAGACGCACGACGGACAAAAACCTGTTTATTTCACGAGCAAGGCACTTCAAGGGCCCGAGGTTAGATACCAACAGATAGAAAAGGTGGCTTTGGCCCTCGTAAAAGCAGCAAGAAGGCTCAGGCACTATTTCCTCGCGCACACGATCGTGGTGCAAACAGACAAGCCTGTGAAACAGCTCCTTGGTCGACCAGACATGGCATGTCGAATGTTAAAGTGGTCCTTGGAACTTTATGAATTCGACATCTAATACGAGAGCAGGGAGGCCCTGCAGGCACAAGCTCTGGCTGATTTCTTCACTGAGATGACTGCTCATAACCCCCCCACAAGGAAAGAGGACAAGTGGATCATCTTCATCGACGGAGCTTCCAGCTCGACCAGGAGCGGTGCGGGAATCCTCCTAGAGAACGAGGAAGGCGTGGTGGTCGAGCATTCTCCCACCCTCTCCTTTCCTACCTCGAACAACCATGCAAAATATGAGGCCCTCCTCACAGGTCTAAGACTGGCCGAGGATTTAGGCGCCTGTGAGATACAAATTTTCACCGACTCTCAACTCGTCGCGTCCCAAGTCCAAGGGGAATACCAGGAGAAGAACAACAACCTCATCGAATATCTGAACTTGGTCAGGGAGCATATGAAAAAGTTCGACCGGGAAGAAATTCCGCATGTACCATGCGAGCAAAACACAAGATCCAACATTCTTTTGAAGCTCGCAAGCACGAAAAAGAAAGGCGAAAATAAATCCATTATACAAGAGTCACTATCTCGCCTGAGCATCGAAAAATCCACGACTCTACCCGAGGTAAACTCCATCGGAGACAGCTCGTGCTGGATGACCCCGGTATTCAACTTCCTAACGAAGGGGGAACTCCCCCTGGACCGAAGAGAAGCAGCTGCGACCAAACGACGAGCATGCTCCTACGTGGTACTCGAGCACAAATTATATCGTAGGGGATTTTCCATCCAATCTCGGGATTACCCTCAGAATCCAAACACGGTTCCCCGTCCTCATCCACCACAACAGCCGGCTCGAACAGCGAATCCACGATTGTCTGAGTAGACTGTTACAAGATATACCACTTATTCTTGAAATCTCGCACAGAATCCATATACATCCTAAACAGCCTCTTCGATTGCTTAAGGGACACCCAGCTGTGTTTCCCTCCTCGGGACTGCCGTTGCAGGTGAAAAACCCTAAAGAACAGGGGAATCATTGCCCCGATCCTCAAGAAGCGGCAGGTGAGTTCGAATGCCCGGATAAAGGCAATCGCGTTAGGATGGATCTGGGAGGGGGCCAGGTTCAAGTGATTGAACACTCCCATCTGAAATTCGTTGAAAGGTAACCGGAGCCCGAGATCTTTAAATACGATCTCGTACATAGGAAAGGCATCATGTGTAAACTCTAAGCAAATACGGGCATCCCTCGTCGGCCTCATGATCTTAAAGTTTCTCCGAAATACCTCCTGGTTGCCGCTGTACTCGGCGATAATATAAGCTTGTCTACTAGTATAGCTATAAAATAAAGTTATTCCCCGGGGTTCCGTACCAACCCAATCCAGAGTAGGGTCGTCGACGGTGTCGACCAGATTCATGTTTTCCTCGGTAGTGCTTATTTCCTCGGTATCATTACGCTCTGAGAACTCGGGAATATCATCCATTTACCTGCAAAGTACAGGAAACCGGTGAATTTGACAGCAAATCCGCTTTTCCGCCACACAGATGGGGAGGTAAGCAACACTCAGACCGAGTCAACAGCCATTCGCATGAAAGATGGGGAACATGTGGACCTCGATCAAGCACCGACCTTAACGACTGTCGTATATCAATCATAAACGTCACGATCACAGTGAGAATATCGCGAGCAAAGAATGAATTTCACGACCAAGTTCATAACATTGCTAGCCAAATAGAAGAATACCACGGGGAAAACTAGCCTACATACTAACGAATGGATGAATCCCCCGACCAAGTTCATAAATCTATTAGCCAAACGCATGAATATCACGAGCACGATCATAAACCGTATGCCTAAACCTATGAACGCCACGGGCATTATCATGAATCAGACGCCTAAAATGCTTGAATTTCCATGGCATAATCCCCAAAAACGAAACTCTACCACTAAGCACCATCAAAATCTATCTACAACATAAGATAGCAAAGAAAAAGAACACTTACTTGGAATAAGAGTGAGGAGCGACAATTGTGAAGATGAACACACGGTGAACGGTACGGCGGTCTCAGCGACACTAGGAAAACACGCGGTGTTAACGGCAGAGAAAATATGAGAGTGTGGGAATGTGAAAACAAGTTTTGGGCCCTAAAGCCCTATTTATAGAGATGATGTGGAATGCGAAACATCACGTCGGGGAATCACAAACTGCCTTCATCCTCGACACCTACTCACGTAGACAATAATGACCCCTACTCCCTATGCCACCATTATGGTTTCCAAGAGCCACGCCACGTGTCTGACTAGTGTATCATCCTTTCTCCGTGAGTACTCCCCGAACACTCTTTGACAGTTGCACGAAGCAAATCACGAACTGGGCGACGTCTCACGTCCATGATAGAAAAACCCTGTATCGCACAACGAGTCTCACGAAGGGGCGAACTTGAATCAAATCATAACTCCCTTACCAGAAGCAACGACTTGGGGGGCTCATGTTCTAGACTGGGCCTGCCCTTGGCCCAACTACCATGAGGCCCAATCCAAGCTTGCCAACCTGCTGCGCTGAGCAGTATTTCCATCGAGCACACCCCGATCACAGAGGTCTGGACGACTATGACTGCTTCCCACCGGTGCTCACGGAGGCCGTCCCGACGAACACGCGCTCCCCCTGAGCACCTTCCTTGTAGGGATGACTTTCAACCTCTCTGGATTTCGCGGAGTCTTCATGGTCCCGGAAAGATCGCGTCTCTATCCTCCCTATCTTGTGGAGAATGTCATCCAGGTAGGAGGCCACATGCAGGTTCCCACTACACACGTAGAACCCGACAGTCTCTTTGTTGGGCCTGTTTGATCAGCCCAATAAAGAGACCTTGTCCCAATGCGCTGGGCTATAAATACCCTCTCTTTTGATAGGTTCAGGTATTCATTCATTCACACCTAAACTCATACTTGCTTGCTCATTCCGCCTCTCACTTTGCCATCAGAGTGTCTTACAGGTACCCCCCCCCCCCCCCCCCCATCTCATTCAAACTCAGCCCGAAGCTAGCTGTGACGGTCCAACTCTGATCAGGTCAGATCAATAATCAATATCCAAAATCTCCTAAATGATCCCAAAGAACATTCTAGATGCTAGTACTGGATTGTTATATATGAAACTAGAAGAGTACATAAATTCAGCCTCAACCATAACACCATTATTTTGCATGGTGTTACGATAATCCTTTGATTTTGTGTAGAACGAATATTTACTAATGCTGTATGCACTCCAAGTAATTACATTAAACTTAGGCAACATGACAAACATTTGCAATTATCGGATGCACCACTCTCTTTAGAAATACTTTCATTAAACCAATCTATGAAAGTTCTGTTATGCTCTGTCAACAACCATTTTTCATTCATTCGAGGGTATTTTTCCTTTATAAGAGCTTGTGTGTGGTCAAGTAAAGATCAACTCCGCTAAGGTTATTAAATATATACAAATGTGCTTGAAAAACTACTTCTCGACTAAATGTATTAACATTTAAACCTTGAATACCTCTACCATAATAAAATCCATCATGACGAGACTCGGGAACTCCTATAAAGTTCGCATCTGACAAATAGTTTGGAAAAAATCAATAGTTTCTTCTGTGATGTACCTTTCTATGATCGAAGCTTATGAATGGTGATTATTATTTATATACCCTTTGAAAATCTTCATGTAACGCTCTACCGGATACATCTATCGCAAATATACTGGACCACAAATTCTAATCTCTCTTACTATATAAATAACTAAGTGAACCATAACGTTAAAGAATGATGGAGGGAAGAACATCTCTAACTGGCACAAGATAATTGTAGCTTGGTGTTCCAATTCTTCTAAATTTACAGTATCTATAACTTTACTACATATAACATTGAAGAATAAGCACGATCTGGTTATAGTCACCCTTATGTTTTTTGGTAAGATGCCACAGATAGCCACTAGTATAAGTTGTTGCATCAAGACATGACAATCATTAGATTTTAAGCCAATTAATTTGTGATCATTATCTAGCACAAGTTTATTCACATTTGATGAGTACCATTGGGGAACTTTGATACCCTGCAAACAATCGCAGAAACTTTTTTTTCTTTTTTAGACAGAGTGTGACATGCTCAGAGCAAATAGGTTCTATTTCCTACTTCTTTTAGGGATAATTCTTGCCGTATACCCATCACAACCATATCTTTGCGGGATTTCTTAGTATTTTTTGTCTTGCCTTTGATGTTGAGAAGTGTTCCAATCAAACTATCACGTACATTTTTCTTCACATACATCACATCAAGACAATTTCTTACATTAAGACTGGACCAGTATGGAAGATCGAAGAACACGACCTCTTTTTCCAAGAACTTTTCTCCACAAGCTTTTTTTGTTTGTTTCCAAAGACAACTTTAACATGTTGTTGTTTTCTATAAACTTCCTTCCCGGTTAAGGGTAGAAAGAAAGGGAAAGAAAATGTAAGTTATAGACTACAAAAATCATATTAATACCAATATGTTTAATTGATTTGAAAAAGAAAATAAAAATGGGTTTCTTGTCGATATACTTATACATAAAAAACTAGGAAGCTGAACACAACGTATATTCTTTAAACATAAAGTGGGAAGAGTGTATGTCTGTAGTGGGTGTGGTTGTCTAAAAGATAATAAAATGGGAAGATTTCTATTTTAATAATGCATAACTTTGCATCCACTACAAAAGAACCAAGAAACCAAAATAGAAATCTCATTTCCAAGTACAATTTTCACCATAAACTTCAGTCTTCCAATGCAGACTATGTCATACTATAAAGAACAGGCAGAGGTGTACATAAACTACATACTAACCTGGTGATGAAGGTTATCAGTCTTGTCCATAAAAAACTCTATTTTCTCCTCTGTCTAAAACCTACATAAATTATAAACATATGATTGACGGTTAGATATTAAAGTTACAAGATTTGTGATTCAAATCATGTGATTTGAGAATATTTAGCAAACCTGTGATTTGAATCAAATGATGAATTAAAACTGACTTTGGATCACACACACATACATTAATTAATATGATTATGTGTCATCAATACATATGACATAATTGTTTTTTATTCTCTATCTATCTATTACCAATGTCCTCTGCTTCTATCTATAATATCATCGTATAAAATTTACATAACCCAAACCAAACAGAAAATACAACTAAAAAAAATTACCACAACATTCCAAAAACAAAAATACCTTAAATGTAACAGAGAGAATGAATTTGATTAATTTGTTTTGCAAATTTAGGGGAAAGCTCATTCGCTTTACTTTCTATATGATTCAATAAATGCTTTTGTCTATGTTGACCCAAACCCTTGCAATCCATAAGAGCAACATAAGGTGGTTCTTTTGGATACTAATATATACAACAAAAAAATACAAAATACATAAGCTTTTGTTGCTGCTACTGATTAATACATAGAAAAATTGAACTCAACAATGATAACAGAATAATCATAATTCAGTGAAACAAATATGTGGAGTTGCATGTACCTCAAGAACTATTTCTACAAATTGCAAGGAAGTTGAATTTGAATAATTAAAAGTAAAAAATATATAAATTAGGGTTTGAAGAAAAATTGGGAACCCGGTGAGAGGAAACTTTGGCGATTCTAGGTTTAAGGGATAAATTGGAAGTGAGGAGGAATTGGATGGAGAATGGTGCAATCGTTTTTGTAAATGGATTTCAACGCTTCAACTTCTTTGACTACTTCTTCTTCTTCTTCTTCGGTGTTCATTGTTAGCAGAGGCAGTGGGAATTGTTTTCCGCTTCTCCCAACTCTTCTATTTGGATTCCCAATTGACACTAATAAGTTTACATTTCTCAATGTGACTATTGAGTTGTCGTAAAGAATTAATTGAATAAAATTAAATACTTTAATATTTTAATGATAATAATATTATAAATATTAAAAATAAAAATATTGATAATTATAGAAAAGTTTTTTAATAATAGCAAATATAAGAATAGTAAGCATTCTAATTGATTGACACATGATAAACTTGTAAAAAATTGATTTTGCTTTATTATATTTAATGATTGATATATGGAATATATTTATATTTTTTGTATGATTCTTATAAGTATGTGTTTGCCAAAAGTTGTTATCGGAGTTGTATTATATTTTAATTTTTGTTCTCATATTGATCAATTGCATTGGTTTTGTAATATGTATGAAATAGTATCGTAATAAAAAGTGTGAGAATTGACCATGAATATATTTTCATCAAGTTTTCTATTCATGTCAAATAAATTTTTATAGGATATAAAGATCATCCTAAATGAATTATAACTTATATAGACTTTTTGAATTTAAAGTCTAATGAAATTACTGAATTTCAAAATATGAAATTATTTGAGAACCTAAACATGAAGGACATGGAATTTGAGATTCCTACAAATAAAGAATCTCGTGAGAAAAGTTGTCCACAAATTCTTGAAATACAACACAAACTTGAGATAAACAATAGTCCGGAAGGTTAAGGCTTTAGGACCAAACAAAATTGGTTCTTGAGTTATATCTCTTATCTAATAGAAGGAAATAGTAAGAATTTTGTTTGCAATATTCCTATTATTATTCAAGTGGAAAATGATCCTAAGATTTACAACGAAGAAGTAACTTCAAGAGACTTCTCTTAGAATTATAATATCTAAGACGAAATAGACTCAATAATGTCAAACCACAGTTAGGAACTTGTTGATCTACCTAAAGGATAAATATCCATTAGATGTAAGTGAGTGTTTAGAAGGAAGTATCTTAATGATGGTACACTATACACCTACAAGGATATATTAGTAAATAAGGATTTTAGACAAAAGGAATGTGTTGATTATTTTAAATCACATGCGCCACTAGCAAGGACGACGACAATTAGAAGTATTGTTTGCATTAGTTCCTTTGCATGACCTTATAGTTCATCAAATGAATGTCAAAATGACATTCTTAAATAGAGATCTCGATGAGGAGATTTAAATGGAGAAATTAGAAAGTCATGTGCTTCATGGTAATGAACAAAAGGTGTTGAAGCTTGTCAAATATATGTATGGATTAAAACAGACACCGAAACAATGACATCAAAAGTTTGACTTAGTCATTATAATATTCACCAATTAAAGGGACACACACAACGTAGGGGATAATTTTCAATCTTATCAAAACAAGAATTCAAATAGTTTCTCATCATAAAAAAGGGGAGATTGTGAAGAATATATTTTATATCTAGTTCAGTTTTGATGAAGATAAAGATCATCAAAGAAGTAAAGGATCAAAAGTGTCATGCACATCAACGATGAAGTTGATTAAGAAGTTTGAAAATATAAATTCAAATGAAGATTTGAGACTAGTGAACATAACTAAGGTGCTCATTGCAATTTATACTATACTACTTTAAATTACTCTGAATTTTATCTCTCACGTTATCTAATAACTTTCTTACATCATCATGCATGATCATCTAAAATTTTTCTTCATCTAATTTTTGTAACAAATGTTTGTATACAAAGTTGTGTGAGAATATTGTGATATTCTTTTATCTACGTTGATTACATATAGATCATTATCAATGAGATGAATGAAATCTTAGAAACAAAGAGGTTTTTTAGCTTCCACATTCAAGATGAAAGATCTTGAAATAATGGACACTCTTTTGGATCAAAGTAAAGATAAATAGTGAGGATTATGAACTTAGTCAAATATACTATATTGAGAAAGTAGTGGATAAGTTCAAACACCTAAACTTTAAGGAAGTAAACACTCAATTCAATCCTAGTGTCAAACTTCAAAAGAACAATGGAAGAATTGTGGCTCAATTGGAATATGCAAGTTCAATTAGATGTCTAATGTATTTAATGCAATGCACCAGTACTGACGTATCATTTGCATTTAGTAAGATAAGTAGATTTACTAGCAATCCAAATGATGAAAATTGGAAGGCCATAACTAGGATTTTCAGTTATCTTTTAAAAATAAAAAATCTTGACCTTCATTATGGTAGGTTTCCTGCCATGCTAGAAGGATATACCGATGTGGGTTGGATATCAAGTGTTGCAAATTATAAATCTACAAGTGGGTAGATATTTACATTAGTTTGATGTGTGATTTCTTGGAAGAGCAAGAAACAAACATGCATTACTCTCTCAACCATGGAAGTAGAGTTTGTGGCTCTTGCGTCAGCTGGTCAAGAAGCAAAATGGTTGATGGACCTTTTGTTGGAGGTTCCATTAACTAAGGATAATGTTTCGAAAGTGTTGATACATTGTGACAATTGAGCCACCCTAGCTAGAACGTTCAGGGTATATAATGGAAAGTTTAGACGCATAAGTTTTAGACATTATTGTTAGAACAAGATTAGTTCTGATCATATCTCAGAGTTTTGATGATAATAATAAATTATATTTTATATATTTGATACTCTGATGAACGTATTTAACTGTTTCAGATAATGTTCTGACAGAAGCATCTTGAAGTGCTGAGCTGAAAATAAATGAAGAAGTTCTTTGATGAAAGAACTATTTTAAGCGCAAGTGTTGATGCTGTCTCTGATAATGTTCTGACAAAAGCATCTTGAAGTGCTGAGCTGAAAATAAATTAAGAAGTTCTTTTGATGGAAGAACCATTTGTTTTAGTGCAAATGCTGATGTTGATGCTGACTCTGGTAATATAATTATTTAATTGCATCTTCTAATGCTTAGCAAGTTTCTGTGTAAGCTGTTTCAGAAGATATTTGAAAGCAAGTGTTGTTCAGAAGATAAGCAAGTGCTATTCAGAAGATCTTAGAAAGCAAGTGCTATTCAGAAGATATTTGAAAGCAAATGTTGTTCAGAAGATCTTAGAAAGCAAGTGTTGTTGAGAAGATCTTAGAAAGCAAGCGCTGATCAGAAGTACTTAGCAAGCAAAGCATTGTTTAGAAGATAAACAAGCATGTTCTGAATTCAAG